CAGAGATAGGGTAAATTTCCATGATATATAATCAGAGATGGGGTAAATTTCATTGACAGAAATAATTTTCGAATTCGGTTCCCAATGATTAGTTTCCATTGGATGTCATCGGTGCCCTTCCAGTTTTTTCATTGCCATATGACATCGATAAGCAACATCGTTGCAGTGCAATAGCATGGCATTGCAAAACTTGGAGCAGAAGATAAGGCCAAAAATTCCGATTTAGTTTTAAGATTGCGATATGAGTTCAAAAAAGTGCTGCTTGTTGAGCGCACTATTGAAGCTATCACAAAATATATATCGAAGTCGATTCTCACATTATATATTCTCCATGATTAATCATCTCTGAAATATTTGCAGGCTCCGATCATTCTTGTTTCCGTAATCTAATCTGCATCTTTTCCCATATCGTCGTTGTATTGAGTAGTAAACCTTGAGGAAATTGAAGCCCAAATGTTCTCTTAATTCTTCCTAAAAGATGCTGCTTACTGGCGGACGTTCTAGTTTAGTAGACAGTTTAAATTAGACTTGGTTCACTTCATTGGATTTTTGTACGATGCCTACATTAATTTAAGTTCCTGTTAAAATTAAATTCATGTTCTCCCGTTAACCGCTAATTAATGAACCCGTCAAACATTCTCTGGGCTCGATCGAAAATTATTCATTTATTTATTTACATTCTACATTTTCCTTAACTTTTTAAAGGCGTGGTGTCCTGTTTTAGTAGCTTCTGAGAGTTGATTGCACTTATTTGAGCTTTGTAAGTAATTTCATAAACTTATAAGTTTCCAATAACATTTCAGACAATTGAACTTTCGCGTACTTGGAAAAAATTGTCCTTATCCCAATGATGTAGAAAAGTTTTTCATTGAAGAACAATTATTGATGGCAGTAACCATGTATAAAGATACTTATAAGCCAGATTATAATAAAGGTTTAACAAAGCTTAATATTTTTGCTCATCAAATGGCATATAGAGCAACCTGAACTGAATGATATTAGAACATGTGAGGAGTTTCTGTGGTCGAAGGCCGTGATAAGACGGTACTTAAGACTGTGACTATCGGGCCTGCAAAGAGCGCCGGCTTCTCTTATCTTCTTGTTTGCTCGCTGATAATATTTTCTCTTGTGATAAAAGTTGACGAAGCTCACCTGTTGCATACTTAGATGATTGGCACTTCCCTGCAGATGAATAATTTGAGACAGTAACAACCATGGTCGTGGGATGAAGAGTCAGGCAGTTAGGAGTCTTTGCATATTTAATGAAATTATTTTCATTGATAATTTAATTTTATAAATTTTCTTGTATTCAAGAATAGAAAGTATTTTCCTATCATTATAAATAAACGTTTATGTGATTGCAATGCAGTTCAATTGGATAAAGTTTTGTGAAAATTTTCCCTTCATATATGGTATCATTCGGTTTGAAACCTCACAATTATTTATTTATGTGAATCCGTTCTCATTGTTATGAGGTTAACAAAATTATTTTACAACTTCCTAATCCGCTGCTAAAGTCAGGCGTAATATTTGCTAATAACGTGTAACTGTAGATGACTTCTATATTCTACGGATGTATGATTAAAGGAGAAAAAATTTTTGAGTCAAAATAAAATTAGGTCAAACCATCGATTTCCTTATGTGACTGAGTTGGAACTCGCATTCGCAAATAATGCAACCTTCTAAAAGAGAAACAATCTGATCATGAATACTAAATTTATCACTCATTGTTCAAATTCACAATAATTAAATCCTGATTAATTATTCAAATTACATTTGGCTTGTTACGTTTTTGGCAACACGTTCTCGTAACATCACACCAGCCTTGTTAGAAAATGTTTAATAGTATAATTGGAACAGAACAAAAGGAATATCATTATAGAAACAGGTATCAGTCACTGATAATGGTGCCGCGGATAGGATTTTTATTATAGGTTATTCGGAGGTAACCGAGATGTTCTTATTAGTTCATGAGGTACATTGTTGATGCTGATTTCCGTCTTCTTGTTGGACTAGGTTTCGCTGGTATTAAAATGGATGGCCGTCCTGTGCCTATCGTTGTTCGGAACCACGAGAATCGAAAATTCGAGCTGGATGAAGCCGCGCTGCGGGACGTCCTGCTGAGTCCTGAAGTGGGCGACAAACCCGTCTGTGTGGTGGCAGTGGCGGGCGCCTATAGGAAGGGCAAGAGCTTCCTACTCAACTTCCTAGTGAAGTTCTGCATCAATAAAGTAAGTATTTTAAATACTTTGTGTATTTGAAAGGCGTTTGTGAATTTCACTAAAAGAATTTAAGTTCGAACTCACATTGACACAACTATGATGAAGCTCGTAATTGCAGGAAGAATGGAACTTTTACTAAAGAAGGTTCATGCATACGAAGAATTTGAGTTAAAAACAACGGAATTTATATCCTTTTACACGATCTTTCCTAGGGACTGTGAATGATATTTGAAAAACCGGCGAAAGGTGTGAGGAAAAACCGTTACCGTTATAAAATAAAAAACGAAAATTGATTATGAAGACAATACCCATTAGGTCGACTAGGCAAGGGATTAATAACGGAATAAATGCACCACCTTAACTACCCTGAAGTTGAAGGAGACTTTGTTGGCAAGTTTGCTAGTGCTAGGCTCCAAGAAAATATCAAACAGTCGTTCGAATCTAAAAGCCGAAGTAATGTAGCTCATGTTCATAGGGCTACTGAAGAGATCGCTACAAGAAAATTGCGTGATAGAGACTATCAATACGGAGAGGCTGGAATGATTTTCGGGGACCTCATGATGAATATTTGGGACATCGCACGAGAGGGATTTGAAGGAAAGTTGGGCGTGATTTAGCGAATGAAAAACTAGCAACCAGTCAACCGAAACTATCGGGCCATTCTTAGCAGACAATGACATAGCGGAACTATATAAAGAAAGAAAAGAAACATGAAAAATATCGTTCAGGATGATTTTCCATTGCCTTTCCTTTGTTTTCAGTCATGATATTTGTCTCGTCGTACGGTAACTTTCTAATGTCAGAATTGGTAATAGAGAGGACTATGCTAGTATTTTGAACTCCACTGTAAATTATTTCAGTTTCAATCTAAGATATAACACTAGATTTTACACTTCATCAGGTGAACATTTAGTTGAGGAACAAAAGTTGAACTGAATGGTCTACTTCTTTAGGCAAGTCAATAAGTCTTTAGAACTTCGGGATTAAACTTAATTAATATAAATTTTTACTTTCTCAGGGCTTACCAAACTGGCTTGGGGATCTCTCGCAACCACTCGAAGGCTTCGTCTGGAGCGGCAGCATAAAGGGGCAAACCACCGGAATTGAAATCTGGAGCAAGCCTTTTTTCTTCACTAAACGGACGGGAGAAGAAGTAAGTACAAATAATGAAAAATGCCAAATGACGCGAGAGTAAGCGTCCAGATCGACGAATGCACTGGCAAATATCGTCTATGGCCGGCAGTGAGTGAAATGCGCAATTCTAAGTTGCAATTGCGACATAAACTTTCACAGTGGCATAAAAATAACAGATAATAAATTTAAATGACTATATGATGTTTCAACTTGGTTAAGAGTGCTGATTAACTTACATATCATGCGCTGCTGCACGCGAAGACCCAGCCTAGGAGCGCTCGCATGTTCTCATTTGATATTTTATAATTCTCGACGAAAGTCAAGGAACGTTCAAAACCCGTTCCATGACGGTGCTTGCAAAATCTAAAAATTGAATTCCTAGAAAATATATTGTTACCATAGATAATTAGGCCATTCTCTACTAATTTTCCCAATCCCACATATAGTCGATTGATTCAGGATTACATGATAAGGCGAGCGAGAAGAAAATGAACTGACGAACAGCTTGCTGAATATTCGAGAAGAAATATCATAATCCGTGAAGTTGAAAGAGAAAAAATTGTATAATTATTTAAATTATTATATATATATTATAATTATATTAATAAATTATTTTCACCATATTTTCACAAACTTCCTACAGAGTTCAGCTCTCAAATACATGATAGGAAATGACGTTAATATAATATTTTCACTCGATACATTTCAAACTCGGTAAATGATTTGCGTAAATATGTTTCATTATACTCACCTCTATTAACAGGAGGCCATCATTCACCATTGTGGCTATCCCATTCTGCTCTTTTCTTATTGATCATATTTCTCTTTTCTTTCATTATTTTATGCTCTCAAAATCTCTCATCTCGATGCCGTTTGAATTTCTTGACACTTTTATCATTGGTTCTAGGTGGCTGTGATACTTATGGACACACAGGGCACCTTCGACACCGACACACCACAGGTATGTCCTCATAATCTGTGTCAAAAGTCAAGGAACAGGTTCAGTGATGTGGAGTCAAATCTCGATTTAATCACATTAAGTTCCAGCAGCTACTTATGACTAAATTCGCTCCTAAATGCGCCTGTCTACAAATTTTCAGTTCCTAAAATAAGTTTAACTTTGATTTTGAAGTAAAAATGATATGAATTAAAATATTGATAATTCGTTTCCTCAAGTCATTTACTACGCGAAGAACGTAAAGTTTGAAAATTTGAAGGTAAAATCACAGAATATTTAACATGACATAATGTCTCGTTATTTACATAGGTAATAATATCTGTAGCACAGTCACTGTAACTCGCAAAATTGAAATTCAGTAGAATAGAATAGAAGTGTCGGCACTGAAGATATAGGCCCATGGCCTATTGCCGATTCTTGTACTTATCGTGACTTGATTACACAAGAGATCCGGCATTGTGAACCCGATCTTTCCATAACTGACGAATTGATTGAGATAGCTGCTGGACTTATTCCAAGGCCCGTAAGGTGCTAGGCATTTTGAGACTGAACATATGCTCCTGGATAGCTTCGGCCAGTCTGTTCTTGAAGGCGTTCATACTCGAAGCGTCAACGATGCTATCAGGGACGCTGTTCCACATGTCGGTGACTCGAAGCGAGAAGAAATGTTGTCGCATGGATGTGTTACAATGCAATTTTTTAGTTTCTAGCCGTGGCCCCTGGTGTTGGTTCTTGTTTCAAATTCCAGTAATCCTTCTGGGACCTTGTATAGACCGTAGGTATACTTGTATACTTCAATGAGGTCACCACGCAGACGTCGAAAACAGAGGCTTGAATCTTCATAATTTTTAACCTTTCTTCATAAGGCTTGCCTGTTAATTTCGGGATTATCCTTGTTGCACGTCTATATATGAACACTCTCGACTAAATTTTTGTCCTTTTCTAGTTTTGGTGACCGATGATAAAGTGAAAAAATGTTTTTGCATAACAAAGAAGGGCTGAAGCTAAAATGAGAGTTTTGATAGCTTTTCTGCAGAAAAAAATAAATTTTTTCACCATGTAGATTTTGAAATGTGATGTCGGTGAGCCTGCTTTACTCGCAAGCAGTCAGTGGTGCCACCGTAACTATAACCAATTGAATTTTAACCAAAAATCAATAGTAAATGAAAGAAAACGATTTTTGATGGTGGTTCTAACCCATTACTGCTGTGGTCTCTATAACTGGGTATCATGAACTTCAACCAAGGGTAGATAGTGTGTGTCTTGATAACAATTTGGAGGAACTCAGTAGAAAGTATTTTTTTAACTCATGATCAGTAATAAATATGGATGCATTAAGAATAAAGTGGAACTTGATTGATTATCTGGGCAGCTCTTAGTGGGAGGAGTCTCAGCAATTAGCTAGATAAATTCCATGTTAGCTACATAAATGTTAGCTAGATAATGTAATGAATTCTAATGTAAGCAAGATAAATTCCATGACATCGAAATCTTTTAATAAATGTCTGATACAATAATCACTTACACCAAGTACTATTACACCTAATTTCTGAACAAGTTTAGAAGAATATTTCAGCAGACAAATTGAACAGTGACGAGAATAAACATAGAATATAAAAGCGTTTATATGACAATGCCGTCATGAATTGAAATATATTTTTCATATATAAATCAGCGCTTCTGTCTACTACGTGCATCTGCTAGAATATTATAAGCTGAACTATAAATATAAGATGGCAACGCTTCCATCTCGCTCAGAGATGTCATGGTGTACTAAGAGGCACGAATATTTCGAACACGGAATAATTTTGCTCCTCACTCGTGGTTTATATTCTGACCAACTTTCTGTCCAATAATAAGGATACAATGTTGTAAGGGAACGTTGTTTATTACAGTGTTATAGTAAAATTTAGATTACGTGTATATTTGGTTTTCTTTCTGAGTAAACTCATACGTCATCTTTTTTAGCCAAGCCTAGTACCTTTTCAGAACTTTGTGGTCAACCACAGTGTACGTCTTAGTATTTGGTATGATTATTTTCTGATAATCATTCGTGTCGGTTTATTGGTGGTTTTATTGGTGACTAGGACTATTATTATGTATGTATTTATACGAGGGCATTATGTATTTGTGACATGTATTGCGTCATATCCTACTATGTTACTGTGACATCATTACAAGTCCTTATTTATGTAGTTTTAGAAGGGCTCGGAAGCTGAGACTTGAAAAGGGTTTAATTGATTGGACAACGGAACACACAGTTTATATTTATGTACTCGAAATTGCTTCTATTATTATCGTTTTCATTCAACACTTCTATTAAATCTTTCTTGCCAGTGAATGACTTTTGTCAAAAGCTATTCTATAAAAGATCATACGTTTTATGTGTGGGGTTAATGAAAGCTTTCTCTATTTAATTATTTTTTCAATTAGCATCGACCATTTTTGAAGTGATATGCACTTTAAAATTTGAAAAATATATTCAACTTTTAGAATATTATTAGAACCGGCTTTTAACAATGGTATCGGTTAGATATAAATTAATTTCATCCTACAAAAAATGTGGTTAAATTAAAGTTCAAGACATTATTATTGGGTTAAGTTGAAGTTGAATTTGGGATTTAAATTCTTAGGAATAAATTCATGCGGGAACTTTGCTTTATTTATACGATGACTGCTCGCGTTTTTCAAACATTTAATTTTATACTTGAATAAGCCAAGTGCACAACCAACAAATTAATTTTACGTAATAAAAAGCTTTGTTTTCATATGATCATTAGATCAACCTGGGATAAGTTTATTTTTTAGTGACATGAGAAGGTAAACTGGCAGCTGGCATAAACTTCAACTGAAAAGGTAAACATTACAGTACAGCTTATCGAAGTCTGTTATTTTCTTCAGGATTCTACGTTTATATTTGCCCTTACTTTGCTGGCGTCCTCCGTGACGGTGTATAACATCATGAACAACATCCAGGAGGATGACCTCATGAACCTACAGATGTTCAGCGCGTACGGGGCCTTGGCTCAGCAGAATGACCAGAGCTCGCGTGCATTCCAGGTTCGTAGAACACGTGTCGTGCCTTGGGCGTAATTACTTGATATTCGCAAAAAGCGATAACTTTTATTCGGCAGCAATAGCTTTTAATCCTATTTATATTTATTTACTTATATTTATTCATCAATCTTCGTTTTTCACTTTTTCACTTAGGCCAAATCCTCTTAATTCCTAATTAATTTAATGTAGATAATAGCATATCATTCAAAACATTTGAATGATCGATTCATCAAATTTTTATTAACATTAACCGATTTATTAAGCCGATTTGGGCTTCTTGGCCCAGACACAATATTACTGGCCGCTTAAATTTTAAACTTTGAAAGCTCCGAGGCCCTGACCGGAGATTATTATTGCCTGACCAAAGTTTTGATTTCTGTCAGCCGCTGGCTTAAGGACGCCCCAAGCTCGCCTAGAGCGTAAATTTGCGGCTCTATGTCCGTTTTAGGTTCTGGTTGTACGGGAGAAATAAGCACCTGATTAGGATCTGATCGATTCCTTGACAACCCTGACGCGACTGCGGGGCGCGCGTATTTGGTATCTGATACGTTCGGGACAGACACGGCCGAATCTTCTTTATGGGGGGGAAGGGAGGGGGCATTTGAATCGCTGTACGCTGTATATTTTTGAGCAAGTAAGCAAGTAAATAGTAAAGCAAGTGACAAGTAAATACGAGTTTGATACGGGAACGTTCCAACGTTTCATTTGCGGACGATACAAGATTGCTGATGAAGATCACAGAGGACATAGCCTGCGAGAGGTTACAGGACGACTTGTCAACAATCTATGATTGGGCCGTAGTTAATAACATGCAGTTCAACGGCACCAAGTTCGATGTAATGAGATACAGAGTTGGCACAGAGATCGGGATGCTACATCGCTACTTGGCATCAGATAGCACAGAAATTGAAGGGAAGCAACTAGTTACAGATCTCGGAGTGTTGATGAGTAACGAAGCCACGTTCTATGACAACATCGAGGAAATAGTTGCGCGAGGGAGACAGATGATGGGGTGGATCTGGCGGACATTTCAAACAAGAGAAGAAGCGCCAGTGATTACACTCTTCAGAGCCCTAGTGCTCCCCAATCTTGAATACTGTTGTTAGCTTTGGGCGCCGCTCAAGGCGGTTGTGGTGCGTAAACTGGAGGCAGTGCAGCGGACCTTCACGTACAGGATCAGCGGCATGAGGGTGCTGGACCTGAACTACTGGGAAAGGCTGAAGCAACTGGAATTTTTCTCACTGCAGAGGAGAAGAGAGAGGTATATCATACTGTACACTTGGAAGATGATAACCGGACTTGCTCCCAACTTTCAATGTGAGACCTCCAGAATAGTGACATATTACAACGAAAGGAGGGGTGGGCTGTGCAGGATTCCCCCAATTAATAACCGAGCCACGGCCAGAGTACAGACTATTCGTGAGGGATCACTGTCCGTGGTAAGACCAAGGCTGTTTAACGTCTTACCAAAGGTGCTGAGAGGAGGGGAGTTTACCCTTGCGACATTCAAGAGACAACTGGATAAGTTTCTGATGAAGATCCCGGATTGTCTAGTAATTGGAAACTACTCTCAGCAAGTGACAAGCAACAGCATCTTGCATCAGCTGGCCTAAAGTATGGCAAATAGACAGAACCCGTCCAACGTTACATCCGGGACCCGTAGGCGGGGTGACCTGCCTAGTGACGACTCGGAGACGGAGGAAGACGAAGGCGGAGCATCAGCTTGACCATGAACTACGAAGTCCTAAACTCATAATAAGGTCATAAGGGAATAATATCGGTTAATACAACTTTCAACCTCAACTTTCCACAGTATCCACCACATTCTCTAATATTTACCTGAATTGCAGGACCCTCGCACATTGCCCGAGCAAAACAATCTTCGAGATTATCACCAGCAGTCAGCGTTCTCACTCATTGCCCAAACCAAACATTCTTCAATATGCAATAGCACTCAACGATAAGTATTCTATAATTTGCAATAGCACTCAACGATCAACATTCTCCAATATTCAACACCGCTCAATATTATCCCACATCATCCATGTACGAAACATTCTAACACATTCACCCGTACCAAACATTCCTACCTATGGCGGGTACCAAACATTTTGCAAATACGGCATAGCAAAACATTCTCTCACCTTAATCAGTATTGAAATTTCTCTAATATATGCCATCACTAAACAATCACATTCTCATATAATGTTAAGCATTCTGCGGCAAAAACAATTTAAATATCCTAAAAGTTCTCACAAAATATTTGCAAACAACAGCCTAGTGTTGATCTAGTATGTACAGGGCTCATTTATAACCATGCATTTGAACATAGCGCAAATTCAATACGGTTCAATTTCCTGTGTTTCCAGGTACGAAGCACATAAAATGAAATTAATTGTTCCTGGTAATGTAATTCAGGGTGAGACGATACCCGCGCGCATTCACATCCAGTGTATTTTGCTAACGACTCGTTTATCTTACGACACGTCACTTGTATGTACGGGCTATCGAACTGATTTGCACGAGTCTATAAAATTCTGTCTACAGTGGTTGTGAAGAAGAATAGATCAAATGCTACCGTAGAAATTCCAGTTGGAACTTGAGACATTCCTAACATTGCCATGTTCAATGGAAAATTTGGAAATTTACTCTCTGATAATTTGTAATTCGTCGAAAAGCACCCAATTCATAATACTTCGATTTCACTCTGGTACCAAACCCAATGATACAACGAAAAACTAGCATACAATTACAAAGAACCAGCAACTTGGTTACTAACGGAGTTGGGACTATGATTTCTATTCTTGCTTGTACGCGTTTCTCTTGCAGCGGCACGGTCACTGCTTGACTGGGGAAGACAAAACTCAACCAAGCAGTCGAACTCTTGTGTCAACTGGCATTTTCACACATGGATTCAGCTTTCTCAAGGAATTAGAAATTAAGACCTGCTCCTAGATAGCCGCTGATTACTGTTAGGTGGCCGATAGGCACCTGAGTCACCTCTAAGCTGACTGTCTGTCCTTTGGGGCGGCCATTAATGGAACAAGAAACTCGACTGGGAGTCAGTTTACAGAAGAGGTCGATTGGGTTTACTCGTATCTATTACAATTAATGGGACAACATTTAATCACGAAGCTCAGAAAAGTTATGTGAAAATTAAAAGACTATATTGATGACATATACTCGGATTTTATGAAGCATCATTAATCCAAAATCTGCTGATTTAAGCCAGTCAAAGGACGATTGAGGCTATTTTTACATATGGCGATGCATATTGAGTGTGGATGTGGTACTTGGCAGCTCATCAAGAGCATGGTGATGCATACATTGTTGTGTGGTCTTAAAAATAATATATCATTTAAAATATGTAATTAGTAGAGGCATCTTGTTCTTGCTCACACTGTGAGAAGGTTACTTTCGTGTTGAACATTTAAATAAGTCAACATGTTTTAGAAGTGCCAATGCTGTGTCTGTTGTGACTATTTTCATGCAAAGTGTGTTTTTATTTGCATTGTGTCCCAACGCCGATCCCTATATTTTTTGTGACTTGCTCACTAGAGACCTAAAAACTGGCATTTTGACCAAATATTTTCAATACGGACGTTGGTTTGAAATAATTTTAGTCCTCGATTTGAAAACATGTCCCATGAGTGATTATCTCGTGTCTAAGTTCAGCGGTAATGTAGCTTTCATTGTCACCATCTAGTTGTCGAATGAAATTTGCTTTTGGTACGCTGGATAGTATAACTATTCTTTAGTGTTCTTTTGTGTATATTTTTTAATGGCGAAGGCGTCAATGTCAAAAGCGTCATATGTCATGAGGTAAAAGCCAGTTGCAGGGTTGGTCAGTCTAATGAACAATGCGTCATGTAGTGGAATGCCCTGTAATAGATTTTTTTCCGGTTTATTAGTGGACTTATTATTAGTGGTTATTTTTTTAAAGTTTAATTTTGTTGGTTATGGGTCTTCAACGTTCAAACGAGACTCTTTATTTATGAGATGGTCTGGATGATGGCCAGTATGAAGGATGGTGACGTAATGGAAAAATGATGATGATGTGATGGTTGGTGCTCCTATTGTCATCTGGAATTAGTTCGTCCGACTCAAGGACTCAAGGCGTGGGGCGCCCTATGTGAGGAGGCATGATGCGAGTTAGGGAGGGAAAATACAGGCTTACAGAGGTGTTTCACTTGCACAATTGTGAAGAGCAGGGACAAAAGCACAAAAATAATACTGGTCCAGTTGTTCACTATGTTGGAGTAATTAAATCAAATGTACCTTTTCCCCATTTTTCTACTACAGAAGTTGTTGTTTTTGGTTCGCGACTGGAGTTTTGCTCAGGAATACCCGTACGGCCATGAGAACGGCCAACGGGTGCTGGAAGAAAAACTAAAAGTAAGATGATCACAACATTATTAGTATCAAATCAAATTTTAATTATTATAAACACTTTGCCCTAAGGACGGTCCACTTTAAGACCTTTTAAGATGAAGACATATATTTTCCGATCTTCGCAAAACTAGTGAAGATCAAATCAAAACATGACTGACGAATAATCGTAATAGTTGAACGAGTTCTGTGTCATTGTTTAAGAGACAAGCCCGTTAATACCTAATTTCTCTAAAGCCCATTGATTTTTCATCGCGACGAAAAAAAAAAAGATGTCGATCCATGCCCTTCGAAACATTTGTGTTCATGAGAATTAATTTGGTCTATCTTGCCCACACGCTGACTATTTATTGAAGCTAAAATAAAATATTATTTCTAATCGTCAGGTGAAGCAAGGGCAGGATGATCCTGTGCGCCAGAGGTTGAGAGATGGTCTCCGCCAGAGTTTCGAGGAGCTGGAATGCTACCTCATGCCTCACATCGGCCTCAAATTCAATGACAGTAGCTTCGATGGTCGACGTAATCGTGAGCATCACTCAAGACTAAAGTTTGGAAACGAGTTAACGTTTATAATTACTTGTACCTTCAATTAATCATTCAAATGGTATATCGCTAGATCATTTGTTCGTCTGTCTTCATTGTTAGCACCAATCGGAAATTATTTATTCCTATCAAAGGCAAACACACGAAAGATTCATAATAACGCTGAACTTGAGTTCAAGGGGAAGAGGTATAACAAAATTTAACAGTAACTTATTTAGTGCATCTGAATGTACCATTAATGTGTACTATTTTATAAATAGGGTCCAATGAACATTAAAATCATGTAATTTTTATAAGATACGTTTATCAGTCCGCTCATACACTCCTGACGTTAGAGTTGGCTTTGTGCTCCAAAAAATTATAGCTTCTATCATTCATTCGAACAAATAAATGCTTGATATCGATGAAGTTAATCTTGTATGCGATGAAAGTGTCTATTATTTATTGATATGCTAATTAACGAACAGAATTGGATGAGCGATTTGTGGAGCACCTGCAGCTGTTGGTGCCTCACCTGCTGGCGCCTGAGCGCCTCGTGGTGAAGCGCTCAGCGGTGCGGCGGGGACAACCCGCCACCGGTGAAGAGGTGGTGGAACTCATCAAGACCTACATGGCGGCCTTCCAGGAGAAGAATCTTATTGAGCCTGTCAATTTGGTTGAGGTGTTGATGCTTGGGAAATAGCTATACGGCGTTTATCATTTATTTTATTTTTTTTTTTGGGTGGAGGCTTACCATATTACGGATTATTATGATCTTCATCAAATGATGTATTTTCCAGGTTCCCTCTATGTATCACGGAAGATGAAAAAGAATTTCCCTTTTTTTGTTCATTCACCGACTTTTTGACACGTGGAATAAAGACAAGCAGTTCATTAAATTTTCGCTCAGAAGACATGGCATTTTAAATATATTTAATGATTACAATTCAGGCTGGAACCTGATAAACTATGGCATTCATTTAATAATAAAACTTTGACCTACAATAATTCTATTTTAGCTGATGTCACGCGTCTGCAGTGAAGGGGCTTGCAAGATTGCTCTTGCAGCTTACAAGAAAGCTATGGATTCAATAATCTGCCTCGAAGGAAAAAATGATACTGCCTCCACTTTATTGGACAATCATTTTGCAGCAAAGGACGAAGCTATTGCAGTCTACGTAAGGGAGAATAAATACGCCAAAAATAAGGGCTTGTTTCCTGTGGCAGACGAAATTAAGCAGCTGCTTGAAGCGGTGGGTAAACTCGAAATTAGTTTAATTCCAATCCTAGAAAATATTTCCGAATCCAGCTTCTTCATTAGTTTATAAATACAGTTGTACGTGTGTGATACGACGGTATGACGTCACCAACTTGTATTTTGGAATCGTTGAGCATAATGAGTAAAGTTATCAACCAGATATTTATTTGAGAGTCAAATTCATTAGGCTGTACGTGTTCGTGCCGAGCAGTGCAGCGGCACTGTAACAGATAATGACATTAAAAATTTAGTTGCACATCCTGAATTTAACAATGCAATTGCAAACAAAAGAAACTAAGAGAAAACAATAAGACGCTAAGAGAAGCTAAGTTTGGTTTGAATAAGAAAACTTCAAATTCTTTCTGCTTCTTTACATCTCTTTCATTTTTAAAACTAGGACTTAGGATGTTTCTCGAATTTAGACTTAGCTGATTGATTATACCTGTGTATCGCATCAAAATAACGTTCTTCAGGAAAATTATCCTTCGTTACAGCAAATCGATGAACTGTTCCGGCGTGAAGTCGAGGCTCGCTCGTGCAGCGAAGCGGCCTACAAGAAGGCTTTTGAAGCTTACCAGCATGACATGGATGAAATGAATTGTCCCGGTGGAGAATTTCTGGATGCTTCAGTGTTAATGAACTCATTTATAACCGCAAAGAACAAGGCTATTAGAATCTATGATCAGGAAAACAAATACGCTGACAGCAGTGAGAATTTTCCAGTGGTGAATGAAACTAGAGCTCGACTTGAAATGGTGAGTATACAAGTTTGAGATATTAATTCTTACAGGACTGATTTCTTCTATTATCGCCAGCATAATAGTTTATGAATAATGATTTGACACCTTGTTTCCGGTGTTAACAATTTAAGTGTGATTATAGTCAGTGCTAGCGGATTCAGTTATCGTAGGGTGCAAGAACGGAAGAGTACCATAACAAAATTTAGAGGCGTGCGCGACCCTGCATTAGGGCCGCTTTGGACTCGGACCACTCGTAGATCAGCTATTTTATGTCCGCTTCGCTTCAGGGTTCGAAGAGCAGCCTCTGAGCAGTTTTCTAGCAAGGTATGACGTGGCTCGGCCAACCCCTGTCATATTCTCCGGCGACTATAAAATCAGATAGGAGATTCTGACCAGAAACTGATTTCGATCGGGCGGCCAAGTAGACCCAGAATAACTTTGCGCCGAGTGTCGTGACTATTCGGCCGAAGCCTAGGTGGTCCCCGAATTTTGCTAGGGTATAAACTCGATACATGTAGCACGATTGGCCCTTATACGCACGTAGCTGATGATATCAAATGCAAAGAAAATACCGCGCATATGTTTAGGAGGAAAAAGTATGCTGTAAATTTAAAGCGCTTCTTCTAGTCAAATAGAAACTGGATGGTGAAACTCTCTTTGTGATTCGTTGCCCAAGAAGATCGCTATCGTTGTGATCAAAATTGCTTATCGCCAGCAGTAATTTAACCTGCATATGTGCTGAAAAAAAAACAGACAAAACCACTGATTTATAATCATTATTTTCGTTAATTACTATACTCGAACGCCGAGTAGGTGCGTGAATTATGGCGGAAAAGGTCAATTACACTATTTTCATAATTTTTTAGACTGTGACTTGAATGGCCCGGCATTAAAATGCCAAAATAGAAATTATTTTCCATTTTTCGCTGAGGGTGATGGGAGTATGTGGCAATATAGATATATATATAAGCGTTTTATATATACACATTTTATTTTAGTATAGGTTGGCAGAATTTCTTCTTTCAAGCAGGTTTCATTGAAGACCAGAGAATATGTTTTATTCGCAATTTTCTTATTAGTTTTTTTTTCGATATATCGAACAATATTTTTAGTTTGAACTGGCAAATCGAAAATCAGGTTACCGATGGACATTTTTATTTCGTTAACGACGGTTCGAATGTTTCTATCATTCATTATCAAGTTAAAAAGCACATTGAGTGATGGAATTAGCGTCGACATAAGTACAATATCTAGTAAATAGGATACTACTCAAAAATCAAAATTGTTAGGAATAATTACAAAATCACAAAATTTAGAATCAAAGGTTCTGACAAATCCAGTAGTTTGAAGGTTGATGGCTGGGGCCCTATCCATAATGATGAGGGCCTCAGCTATCGCGAGTCGGTTGGCGTCGGGGCATCTCATGACGACGCTGGTGCATTCTTCCAGCACCGTACGAGTGATGGTCTCGTTGTGGGCTTCCATCAGGTGGTTCCTTGGTCCACCAGACTGAAGGTGGCACGTGAGACGTCGGCTTAATGTCGTAGTTGTGAGCCCGATGTAGTCCATATTGGGGAGAAGTCTACAACCTTCTCTATTGCAAGAAAATTTATAGACTACATTGGTCTCTTGGAATACTCCCGTTTTTTGCATGGGTTATTGTTCAATACAAGATTCTGCATTTTCTTGTTTTTGTAATAAATCAGTAGTTTAATTTTATTATTAGTTACGTTCACGATGTTGTGAACGATAGAATGAAGGATCCGTTCATCTGCTTTATAACCGCTGGTCATTTGGTTCTTATAGTAGATGGTTGTGACTTTTGCGTCAGTCTCAAACTAATAAGAAAATTGCGAATAAAACAAATTCTCTGGTCTTCAGTGAAACCTACATTTTATTTTCTACATGAATTGCTTTGTTAAGGTTTCTATTGCTTTACAATGTTTTCTGATAATACTAAGCGTTCTACATCCAATCTCGTGATATCGTAGTGAAATGAAATTTCGACATAGCGATATTTGTTCGATACCGGAATAGTTCCTAATTTAATGGGTATGGAAAGCCACGTTTATGTATATATTGCAAAATAATTGTTAGCATTCACTTGGTGATACCAAGTTAAGGATTAGCCATGTAGTAGGTAAAAGCATAAGGGTTATACAAATGTGTTGTCGAAACAGTGCTCAAGGACAATATTAGTATCATATCAGCGATAATAGGATATTTTACTTCTTATGTTGTTGTGATCCCGTAGTGCAAAGTCAAAATAAAGAAATTTGTACCCGAAAATTTTTGAATAAATACTATTTTACCCAAAGTCCATCACGCTTCCAGCATTATCGCTGCTTAAAATGCGTGCTACGGAGAGTATGAAAATCATGAAAAACTTTTTATCTATTTCCACTTAAAATTTACAGAATTAGGTTTCGGTTGTCCTACCATGCAATCATGTCTATCAATTATATTATACATCAATAACCGTACAGCAAGCAGCAGCTGTTTAGTTTGGCTCATGAAGCAAAGTTGGCGAATGCGCCCGAGCCGATTAAGGCTCTATTATATTAGATAGTTAATGTTGGAGTATATTTTTTGAAAATATGATAGATAATTGCGAAATTCAATAAAATGAAGATATTGATAACATAAAAATTTTATAGAAATAAATTCAATCGAGACACCTTAAATAATTAAATGTATATTGATACTTCCGCTTTTTGAAAAATTTGTATAAAAAGCGTAAATTTCATCGTCCGAGTCGAAAACTTCATTTAGATGCTTATATTTTTAATGTTTCGGTAAGGAGCGTGGTGATGCTATGCATGGAACGATGGTCAGATAATTAGTGATTAGCTGAGGCTTGATAAGGAAGCCTCAAACACAAACCAGAAGCTGTGGTGGGTCTCTTCGTGAGGCGATTTCAAGCGACCATATATGGTAACTTGCCAGTGATAGGGTTAAGACGTCCTTTTTTTCAGGTGATGGAAAGTATGTACTCAGACCATATGGAAGCGAATGAACGTAAGCAGAAGGCAAGTCAATGCAGCAGTGCAGCTAAAATGGAGGCGCTGAGCGTTTACAAGAGCGCCATGGACTTGGTGATCGGTACCGATAAGGCACTTGACACCTCAACTCTGATGGAACACCACTCAACATCAAAGGCCAATGCTACTCAAGCCTACGCCATGGAAAATCAGTACACCAAGGACAGTGAACTTTTTCCGGTTGTGAACGAAATTAAAGCACAGCTGGAAAGTGTGAGTGAATATGTTTTGGTAATTGCTGAGTTCTTGGGTGCTTGCATAACTGTCTTGTACCCAATTAATGAGCGGTTTTGCGGCCTCCAGCCTCACGCGATGCAGATCCACTATGACATGTGTCTTTCCTGCTTATTCCAACCTGAGTGTACATAAGTTCACGCAATTATGATATGGGATAGGAACAGAATTTTTTCTAGAAAACAAGTTTTGCTTGATGACCAGAAAAAGAAATTTTAGCGTAATTTTCAAGTACGTTTTTCAATGGGTCGAAAGATATTTTTCCATTGTTCGTTGACTGAATAGTACGTTTCCGAAAGATAATTCAATATATTAACAACGTTTCAAGTGTAACTATATTCCACTATCAAGTAAAAATAGATTGAAACATTGGAATTTAAATAGTTGAGTACCTGAAGAAAGTAAATTGGACGCTAATTAATAATAAAACTTAAACATATTATTTCAAAGTATTGACAAATACTGTAGTTTCGTTAAGAGTTTTATCAGGAATTCTATCCTTGATGATGACAACCTCCGCTCCAGTCTTGATGGGTTGATGCACCGCATGGAGATGCATATGCAGGATGGGGCACCTCATGACGATGCTGGTGCTAGCTCCGTGTACAGCTTGACAATGCTGGTGCTAGCTCCGTGCACATCTAGATGCTGGTGCTAGCTTCGTGTACAGCTTGACAATGCTGGTGCTAGCTTCGTGCACAGCTTGACAATGCTGGTGCTGGTGCTAGCTCCGTGCACAGCTTGACGATGCTGGTGCTAGCTCCGTGCACAGCTTGACAATGCTGGTGCTAGCTTCGTGCATAGCTTGACGATGCTGGTGCTAGCTCCTTGCACAGCTTGAAAATGCTGGTGCTAACTTCGTGTACAGCTTGACGATGTTGGTGCTAGCTCCGTGTACAGCTTGACGATGCTGGTGCATGCTTGGTGCACGCCTTGACAATGCTGCTGCTAGCTTCGTGCACCGCATGACGATGCTGTTTGAAACTGCACGAGTGATGGTGTTGCTGAGAGGCTCCCTTAAGTGGTACCTTAAGGCTCAAATTGGTACGCCGGACAGGAGGTGGCAAGGGAGGCGAAGCCTTAACGCGGTAGCTGTCAACTAATGCAGTTTATGTTATCAAGTTGGCTACAGCCTTCTTCGTTGCTAGGAAGTTTACGAATAACATTTGTTTCCTTTAGTAGTAGGGATTACAGTGATTTTTTCATGACAAGTTTTTTTCCTGTTTTTTTTTTTTTGTAGATCGAAGTTTGTTTTTCGTCAATATTCGTTTTGCTTTTCTGGAATTTCTTCAGGATTGTCGTGCGACTCGTTCATTTGCATTGTCACCGTTGCTCATTTGATCTTATATTTTACGGTCGTGACATTTTCATTCAGTCCTAGTTTGTTTTTGGCTGGTGAAGTCTCGCTCGATAATTAATCAAGAAAAACAAAAATTGTAATCCGACAAATTTCGAAAAACAATAAGAAAATATTAAAAAATATTTATTTATATAACTTGAATATATTTCTTTTTCTATAACACATACTTACGAGCCAAGTCACAAATTTAATGATGTTTTTCAAGTATTCAACTAATTTTTTATTGAATTTTAATTAGATAAGAGCTACCACTGCGATGATGTGAATCCATTGCGGTATGCGGCATGTCTTATATATACTCCATACTTATTATAGTTATAATACATACTAACTCTTTCATCCTTTGTAAACTCTTTAATTTTGTTTCAGGAAATCGAGGGCTTGTTCTCAGACTATTCTGAGAAGAATCAAGTGAAACTGAGGCAATGCAGCTTAGCCGCTAAAGAAAAGGCGCTGAAGGCGTACGAGGAGTCCATGGATTTACTGATACGTTCCCATACAGAGGTTCTCGACGCTTCAACTCTTAAGAAACTTCACTTAATATCAAAGATCAAAGCCACTCAAGCCTTCGATAAAAAAAATCAGTGTGCCCAGAGAAGTGAACTTTCACACGTTGTGAAGGAAATTAGAGCACAACTTGAGAGGGTAAGAAAATGTGGCCTAAAAATTACCCCTCCAATACCGTGTTCTTTTATCAAATATAACAATAAAGTAAAATTCAATTGAATGCACTGTGCAAACATCTTGAACATTCCGATATTTTAATGTGAGATGCTTCTTTATTTTGCAAAAGAAAAAACATAAAAATGTTTTTCTTCTTCTGTTGTCTGCTAATCGATCGTATTATACTTCTTAGAATATTCTTAGAATATTTTACCATCAATGCTTCAAACAATTTTTTACTAGTTGATAAAGCTCTGAATACAACACAATTTGTATAAATTTAACATAATGGTCGTGCATGGGTTTAAGCCTTTCACGTCATATTTGAGAATTAGCAATCGGTTTTTTCTCATCACAAAATATCCAGTAACAGTCATGGATGAAAGAGAATAAAGGATTACATGTTGGTAGGTAATGTGATTGTCGTTTCTAAAATACTATTTTGAGGATGGAAACAAATTTCAGAAATACTATTATGTGTAATGGCTGAGATATTAATATTTATTCCGCGAAGGCTTAAAAGTCAACGTGCTATTATTGAGCTCAATTTCTTGAAATTCTGTTTCTATATGAATACGATTAAATGCATGTTCTGGTGAAAGGCGTATAGAATTCATTCAAAATTTTCATCATATATCGATTATTCAATACCGGAAAGAGATTTGACCAAAATTGTCTTGTCCCTTAATTTTTGTTGAAGTGCCTAATATGAAGTGTAAGAGATTGCTTTTCTGTGCACCTCTTATATGAATGGTAATTGAGCATGACCTGATGGCTGGTTCAGTTTAGCGGGATCCGAGGATATAGAGGAACAGCGTAAACGATTATAGAATATTCTTTAGTATTATAGTTTGGCTTACAGTTTAGGATAATCTAAGTTTATAAGTTGGAGCTTTAACATTGATGTCTTAGGCTCTTGTTGAATTGAACAAGTCTATAGTGTATCCGCGGGGCGTTCTCCACTCAGACGCTGAGCTAGCGTTACTGTCCTGTTTTAAATGGACAGGAGCAATGGGGTATACAGTACGTACCGACAGTCCTCGCCCAAGACTGAAGTTAATCGCTTGAGACAGAGCTTATATAGCTTCGCTATTAATTTGAAGTCAACAAGGGCGTGACTTGATAAACAGGGAAGGCGAAACAAGGAAATGTTTATGAACATATCGCAGTGAAGGAGAATATCTTTCAACAAGTAAGATATTAATGGGGAAATATCCAGGGATGAATGATTTCAACATTGTCACCTGACAGAAGGTTAAAGGATGAGCCCAGTCATTTGTTTCTGATAGTTATTCAGAAAGAAATTAATCGTGTACATTTACCGAAGAGGTTTATTTGAATTTTAATTGAACACATAGTGGTGCGCACCAACACAGAGTCACTTAATTTGAGAAAACGACCGTCTTTATTCTCAAAAGGTTGCGCTGGAAGTAGTAAATGTTTCCCGTCTTCTATTAACATCGGTTATTCGCATATATGATCATGAATGACCTACAAATTTATGGCATTCATCGTCTAGTCAGATGGTAGGCTGCCTGCGTATTCATCAGAATATCTATGAGTTTAAAGATAATATTTTATGAAATACAAGATATTTAAAAATTCAAATAGTAACTTAAAAATCATCATCCAATATATTAAACTAAGTAGGATGAATAAATTGAGTAGCTGGTTAGTAAAACAGCAACAAAATACGAGAAAATATATTGTACGATGAAATAGATTATTCTAAATGGAGGATTAAAAATAGTCACGTATGCCTTTCAGATGTTTTTATTTAAGCCAAGTGATATCGGATTAGAAATTTATAATAGTTTTTTTAGAATTTTCTTATTAGCTTGTTTCTGTTTCAGGAAATCGAAGAAAAGATGTCAGTCTACATGAAGACCAACGAAGCACGTTTACACACAAACTTTATACGAGTGAAGTCTTTTTCTGCTAAAGTTCTTGTCTTGGGAGCCAAAGGTGAGTACAAGTCACCCTTGCGGATGGTTGAGCGGCCGAAGGTTCTAATTGTGCCGGTTGGAATACAACATTATATTTTATGAACGGTAATTTGGATCAGTTATACGACCCACACAATAGCCCGGTCATTTTAATATATTGCACGCTAGAACAAACCTTGGCCAAGATGAATTCCTTCACCGTGCGCGTCACTTTCGGCCGTCTCCTGGACATGGGCTATAGGAACAATTAATGAATGACCTAAAAAATGAATGACGATTGTACAGTGAACAAATGCCCTGGTGTTCACACAAGACCCTCATGAAGTGAGAGCAACCTTTGTAGACCACCTGATAACGAAACCCGAATAAAATTAGGGGAATACATTTTTATTAGTTTACCTTTCAAGCTTGCAATATGATTGACTTGATTTGAGCCTATACAAACGAATTTTTGGAAGTTGATAAGTACTTAAGCCAAAAAACTTTTTTTATTTACGGACGGATCATTATAAAATTTGGTGTACACATGTAAAATATAAATCAATGATTTTTTCATGTAAATTTTCCGAAGAAATTAAAGTAAAAGTAAAATTTATAGAAACAACGGCAAAACACCTACGGTTTTCAAGCTACAACATTGAGAAATATACCATTCCATTCGTAAGAAAAATCTCTAAAGATCATCCAGTCATTTTCGACGATTCTTTTTTGTCTTGTTTACATATTAAAAAGGGGGGGGGGAATAACAAATTATAAATGAAAACAAAAATTCGAAAAATTACCGGATAATCTTTAGATATGGTCTTTACGCATCGAAGGATAGGTTTCTCGATGTTGTAGCTTGAAAATCATAGGAGATAAGTTTACAATCAGAAAATTTCAAATTTTCAGGAGAGCCCGAAAACCGAAACTTTGTGACCATAGAAGGTATAGATTATATCCACTGAAAAGCCTGTCATGAACGAAAAAATGAACGCATAAACATGAATTTGGTCTTAAAATGCGCAGTATTTAGACATTTGAATGATAAGAATAAAAACCCGAGAAGCCAAAATTTTTGATTTTTGACCGACACGTTCCCTATACCTCGATACTATCTATATTCTATGCTATATCAAGTGATACCCCAAAAAATTTCTATGAATTATTTTCAACCAATTTTTGAAAGTGTTTTCGTGTTACTGTAAAGACGATTTTCCAGAAAAATCTGTTTCGATATATGAGCTCGAAATCAAGCTAAAAAATCTGTCTCGCCGCAGTGAAAAACTTTGGAAAACAATATTGCCAAAAATGCAAAAAAATGAAATCCTTCTTTTTGTACGCTAGTTCGAAGTGTAAGACAAACAACGGTATCTCTGATTTGAAAGTAGACTAACGGAAGATATCCTCTGATGAAGGCTAGGCTAACGTGCTCAATCAGTTCTTTAGCTGTGTGTTCACAGATGAGGACTTGAACAGTATTCCAGATAGGCTCGAAATTAAAAATTTTTGAAATACATAAACAAGAGATTCTCAAGAGCCTGGTGGCCCTAAATCCCAACAAGTCATGTTGACCAGGCGGCTTCCACCCTAGATTGCTCAAAGAATTAGCAACCGTCCTGGCCGGCTCTTTGACAGTATTATTTCAAAAACCTAAAACGAAGGAACTTTGCCGACAGATTGGAAAGAAGCTCTAGTAACACCATTGTTCAAGAAAGGTGACAAAAGTATCCCCGGTAACTATCGCCCTGTCAGCCTGACAAGTGTTTTTTTTTTGTAAATTATTGGAATCTGTTGTGAGGGATAGGATTATCGATCATTTGACTGTTCTTATCAGACTGTCAACATGGCTTTATTGACGGTAAATCCTGCACCACTAATCTCTTGTCTAGGTTGAACGACTGGACTCGCCTGTTGGACGAAAGGGAGCCAGTGAATGCATTGTACCTCGAAATGTCCAAATAATTTGACAGTGTTCCGCATGAGCGGCTGGTGCGTACATTGAAGTCTTTGGGAATTGAAGGAAATGTACTACGATGGATCAGAGATTTTCTAGTAGGTAGACGACAACATGTCAGTATTAAAGGAACCTTATCAGACTGGGCATCAGTGCGCAGTGGCATGCCAAAAGGAAGCGTTCTTGGGCCTGTTTTGTTCGTTGCTTTTATTAACTATCTGCCAGATGTAATGTCAAGCGTGTATTGCATGTATGCCGATGACACAAAAGTTTATAATACAGTGAAGGATGCGTCAAATAAAGTGCAATTGCATAATGATCTTGACAGTTTAGTTAACTGGGCTGATACGTGGCAGCCGCATTTTAATGCTGACAAGTGTAAAGTACTTCACCTCGGGAAGAACAATGAACAGCAAGATTACAATAGGAGAAGACATGGTTGCAACGAGAGAGTAATGATTGAAAAGTCTAGCGTGGAAAAAGATCTCGGAGTTTATGTGACGAAGGGCTGAAAATTTTTAAGCATGTTGAAACGCAGGCTAATACATCCAACAAACTTCTTGGACTAATCAGACGCTCTTTCGAGTTCCTATAGATGCACAAGCGATGAAGCAGTTGTTTGTTGCTGTCGTGCGCCCGAACCTAGAGTTGGAAACGACGTGTAGTTACCAAAATTTGAAAAGGACAAAAATTTAATTGAGTGTTCAAAGACGCGCAACAAGGGTAATTCCGGGCGTGAAAGGCAAGTCATATGAGGAAAGATTGAAGATTATGAAGCTTCCAAGCCTCAGTTATCGACGTCTGCGTGGGGACCTCATTGAAGCATACAAGTATACTCATTGCTCATACGAGGTCCCAGAAGGATTAGTAGAATTTGAAACAAGAACCAACACCAGGGGCCACGGCTAGAAACTAAAAAACTGAGTTGTAACACATCCATGCGACAACATTTCTTCTTGCTTTGAATTACCGACATGTGAAACAGCCTCCCCGATTACATCGTTGACGCTCCGAGTATAAACGCCTTCAAGAACAGACTAGATAAAGCTATTTAGAAATATATGCTCAGACTTAAAATGCCTCGCACAATATCAAACCCAGTGGAAGTTTAGTAAATATTTCATACTATCAACAGTTTGGAAAAGATGCGATGGAAAGACCTGTTTTTAGATCTCCTATGGACAGGTCACGAAAAGTACAAGAATCGGCGACAGGCCACATCATGCCTATTCTTAAGCGCCGATTCACTATGCTATATATGCTATGAATAAAGTTTACTGATGCCTTGTGATATACCAAGTTACGTGAGAGGGACACTTGAAATTTTAACTACGCACAACGCAGAAGTGTGCATTGCGCTTATACCCGTGTTCACCTCTGCAAATCAGTATACCATGTATTTACTGCTGGTAGTAAAACATCCAATGACGTATCGCTGGCAGTGACACTCATGATGTGCCCAAACTCGTTATTGCTGGATGATAAATTAAGAAAAGGATTAAGGTAGAAGCAGCATGCAGCCTCGCAGCAATACATCTGATTTTAAATCAGCTTGATGACGAGCAAATAAATAAAAATTTTACTGCTCCTCCAGTTGCTAACATATTACTTCAGGTTAAGTGGATGTAAGAGTTTTAGACCTTCCTATTACTGAAAGTCTTGGTGGCAGTGAAACGATTCCTGAGGCTACCTTGATAGCTTTTAACGATTGAATTACACCATCTTACCAGCTTGTCGGTGAAGTTTGTAATTATGGTTTCTGGAAGAGTTTTAGACACCGTTATTAGAGGTCGGCGCCTCTAATGGACCCAGAACGGTAGTCGAACAGCTCTCCCAAAATTCAGTCACAACCACTTCTGGGTATCATCAGCCTGTCGGTATTGAGGTGTGAAACAGCCATAACCACTAATACGTATGAACCATATCCGCGAATTTCCCCAATCGATTTCTGTCAATATACTTTTGAGCCCTCCTCATGTCAGTATTCCACCAGGTGTGGGAAAGACATGTCTGATCAACCGCTACAGCAGCGATAATTTTTCGCCCCAAAAACTCAAGGCAGGCGTTGAATTCACCAGCGTCACTACCCGAGCAGGCGGTTACGATGTCAAATTCCAGGTTAGAGAATGATTAGAGCATGTAATTAAGTTTCAACCTTTGCAACGGTAGTATGTATTTCAACATATATATTTCGAGCAGTAACTTTTATCCTATCGAGCAATATGAATAAAATTTTCTTAACGATAAATTGTTGACATTTTATTATAATATAATAAAGGTACATTTTATAATAAAGGTAGATAATGTTTCATCCTAGTTTAAGCGCATTTTTATCGGCCTTTCTCCGCCCATCCACACCATTCCTAAATTCAGGTCTCTCAGACCTAATACAATAATTTCTAACCCGTTCTTTTAATTGTTAGATATGAAATTGAACGTTTATTGTTAAAAATAATTGATTAAATTTACACTAAATGTGATCAAAAGAGGATACATCGTTTGTTTACCCACAAATAACTTACATTGTACTACAGAGTTGACTTCGAATTTACAATATCTCCTAAGTGGAATATTTTGACGCTCATGTCTCTAATTTTGAATTAACTGAATTTGAAATAAAATTTTGATCATTTTCATTTTCAAGTTCATTTAAAACAGAATCGTCAAATCATCTTGTCATTCACAATGATCAAGCATATTTATTTAAATCAATAATGCTCTCAAGAGATTTTCCCTGAAGTTATTCAGAACAATGCAATTATTAGCGATTCACACAATGTGTAGCCAGTGTGAGATTTGTAGTTTCTTTCTTTGTAGTAGCAGAGTTTCCTATCGCAACCAAATTCTACTATGGCCCCACGCCTCAACCCCCAACACAATCTCAGTTTCTCAAATGTTCTCAAGGGTTTTTTCGATGGCAATTATTGTTTCATACCCTACAGTTTTATGGCGCCGAATTCTAGAGTTCTCGAGTTTCTCATTGTGATACTGGATCCATTTTCTTCGAAAATTTACTAATTAGATCACCAGAATTTACACAATGAAAAAGATTTCTATCATACGTTAGAGACAAGCCCTATTAACTCGTCTTTCTTATTAAGTTAGTGTTATTTTTTATCTTTTTAAAATCAATGGCATTTCATTGCGACAGAAATCATTTTCCCTTCACAAACTCATTTGGAAGTTTTTCTCCATTTCCACTTATTTTAAATTTAGATACAAGTTCTAGGTGTGTAACAAAGGAAAACCATACCATAAATCGGCGTTAAACCGAATTTTCAGTTCCGAAATATCATCAGCGTCTTTTAAGTTTCTGAGCGTCTAACATCATGTGGCATTGCGTCGAAATGTCACAAAAATGTGACTAGCTTTCCTATTGAGAACGAACCGTTTAGCAAAGTACAGACATTATTAAATGTTGAATTTTCAGTTAGGAATAACCTTTTGTTAGAAATTACGATAAGAAAATTTATATACGAGCTCACTTCCTTTGAATGCGAGTCTAGGTTATAGCTCACTTCTTTTGAATTAAGGTTATAACTTGAATAAAGGCCACGGCCACTTTTTATTTGAACCAAGAAATTAAAAGCAAAGAAAACGGCCAAAAAATTCATCAATCCTAATAAGAGAAAACGTTTCGGAGTCCAGCTCCATCGTCAGTTCAAAACCTAAAACACATGTACAGACAATTAGTAGACTAGAATTCATTTTACGGATATAGAACCTAAATCGGCAAATGAAAACCAATAGAAATGAAAAAAACATTAGCAGAAAAACCTATCTATTTACAATTTCAAGGGGATAAAAACTGTTGACGGCATTTAAACTCGTCCCGGTGTCTGATAGGGATTTTCGAGTTTTAGCCTCCGCAATCTTTTTCGCGTTTTAGCCTGTTTCAGACATGCGAATTTTAGACTCTCTGTACATTTTTATGCAGAAGCCTAGTTTAAATGCCACCAACAGTTCCTATCCCCTCAAAATTGTAAGTAGAAAGGTTTTTTTTCTGCTAGTCTTTTCTTCCTTTCTTTTGTTTTCATTTGACGATTTAGGTTTTATATCCTTAATATGAATTCTAGTTTACTAATTGTTTGTACATGTGTTCTAGGTTTTAAACTGACGATGGAGCTGGACTCCGAAACGTTTTCTCGGAGGGATGAATTTTTTCGCCGTTTTCTTTGCTTTTAAATCCGTGATAAATTTTCGATTAAAGCAACCGAGTGATCATAATACTTTTTTGAATCATTGCCAAATAATTCATTTGAGTATTTTTGCTCGACATGCACAGCTGTTGGATACGGCGGGACAAGAGGCATTTAGGAACATGCCACCGCAACTCTACAGAGGCGCCAGAGCAGCGATTATCGTCTATGCCGTCAGCGACGCCGATTCGTTCAAAAGCGTCAAAACCCGGATAGAAGGTTGGTGACCGCCCAGTACCCGATCGTAATTCATCATCTCAATTTTTCCGATTCGTTGTTAGTACTACTTTCATTTTTGTGCAACCATTTATTATGACGCATTCAATTAATTTTTTACATTAGGTGATGCATGTATAAATATTAGAGGTAATGCGCCACTTCACAGCCTCAATTCCATCCAAAATAACAAATTAATCATTAGTTATTTCGCGCATCCCATATTCTGGACTTACCATAACATATAACTTCTTTGCACCCGTGCATATCTTGCGATATTTGTTTCCATTTTAACTCAGAATGAAATTTCATTTACATTGTTTAAGCTGCGCGCAACTTTTAGCTTGCTCCTACGATTGCACGCATGTGGCTGATCAACCCCTCCAACTTGAGTGATTCATATTAAGAATTGAGATTGAAAATTATGTTCAAACTCATTTACATTATTCAAAAACAAATTTTTCGGTTCAGAATTGTTCTTCATATGAAAATAATGAAAAGATGGCGTAAAAATCTTTTTTCCAGAGCTGCAAGACAAGTTAAATAACAAACTTGTTATGGTTCTGGTGGGCAACAAGCTGGATTTGGTTGGGTCAGCTGCGCCGGGAACAAGTCAAGCAGTTTCCGCTAAAGATGCCGCTAAATTGGCTCGCGTGTTCAACGCAAGTTTCATCGAATGTTCGGCGCTTACTAACGAGGGTTAGATAAAATCCTAGAAAACGATCACTCGATCAGTGATGTAGCATATCTGCTTCATACCCATAGACATATTTATGTTATATATACCATGTGTGGTGTATATGTTCCAGTCCCATTTATATGTTATAGATCAATAATTTCGAGTACATTACTTGTTTGAAAATAATAATGCCGTCTTATTTGAATGAAGTGATAACTTGATTTTTATATTTGCGCGTCGTGCATGGATAGATTTTTATTGAATATAGGTGGAATTCTGGCAGTGTAATAATCATTATTGCCGAAAAGACATTGCCAGGATGAAAGAATAGCATTTAAAAACATGATTTAAGGTAAATACAGGGTCCGCCATATTTGCTATATAAAAATAAATTGGTTTCTAGGAGACTTTTTTCAGCTCAATGTTCAGCGACGAGAAAAAATTTGACATTGAGCAAAGCGTTAACCGTCAAAATGACAGTTTGGAGTCGGCATGGATCTGTGGCAACCAGAACAGCAACAGGACGTCAAAATCCCATGTCCGTGATGGATTGGGTCGCGGAAACCGACATAGGGAGGTCCCCACTCGTTTTTGTCCCCTCAGGAGTGAAATTGAACAGTGAGCGATACATTTCGGACATTTTGGAAGCTGTGTTGTTACCTTGGGCCCGTAAACACTTCAACGGCTCACCATGCAATTTTCAACAAGACTCTGCCCCATCACATGGCTCAAACATGACCCAAAACTGGATTCAGGGTCACATCCCAGCGTTCATTAGCAAATATGAATGGCCATCAAGAAGCCCTGATTTGAATCTCTCGACTTTTCTGTGTGGGCTATTTTAGAGAGTAGGGTCTGCAGATCATCTCATGATTCTTTGGATAGTTTGAAGTCTAAATTGACACCAGAATGGGACTTGATCCCTCAAGAAATGCTGCGCGTCTCCTGTGAAGCTTTCCCGCTTAGATTTGAGGCCATCATTAAAAATAAGGGTGGTCATATTGAATAAATGTCTTAGAATTGTTTAGGTAATTCTTGGCTACTAGCTCATCCAATAAAAAAAACAATGCACCTCTTTGTTTCATTGAGAAATAACAAAAAACATGCGTTGCCGTAAATATAGCGGACCCTGTAATGTGATGAAAGATTCTCCAAGAAAGGGGAGAGTGGTCGGTTGAAAGCAGAAATCAATGCTATAGTAAGAATAATTGTAGAAATGAACAAGATTGAAATTAGTAAATGATCATTCATTCATTGTTAATTATCCTCAATTAAACTGTGTCATATACTCACGTGACATCCGTACATCCAGTGATGATCATGCATCCAAACATCAGTAGGCAGATGCAGTTCATCCACTTGTTGAAGATTTTTTGAGATGTACATATTCATAGTTAGTTTTAATTATTTCTCAACTTAACTGGCACAATTGTATCCGGCATCTTCAGCTCTTAGCTCATATCAGGTCCGACATGGTAGCATTCAGGCTCAATAACGACTTTTCAGTAAATGACGGTCGAGGTCGTATAAATGATAAACAAAGCTTGCTGTGCTCGTGACTGGCACAATCATCTTAACTACCATTAAATGGATAACAGACATATACCTCATCTGCAAATATCATGCGACTTACAATCACCACCAATTTACGATCGCCGTAAAACTGTCTATGTAAAACTGTCATGTTAGGAGAATTTCAAAGCCTGAATAAATCATATTAAGAAATATGCGATAATCGTAGCACATTGGCTCATCTTATGATGTATGACGTTTATTTGCAGGCGTAAACGAAGCGTTCGATCTCATCGCATTGGGGCTCGCGAAAGAAGAGAAGACAAATGACGTGAGTTAATAAAATGACACTTGTACAAATAAATTTGATAACTAATAGATCTTAGCTATGGTAATTGTAGCTTTTACATATATGAACGATGAAATGATTATATCTAATATGAATAAATTAGCTACCAACGAGTTGAACATTACGGTCTAATCAAATTGAAAATCTTTAACCTTTCCGTGCAAAAGAGTGTTTTATTTAACTAACTACAAGCAAAATAATAGGGATAGCAATTCATTCAATGACAACCTGTATAGTTTCACACGCCAGAGATTACTCTATGCTGAGGTTCGATAAAATTGACTTTAGGACCATCACTGTCGATCTTCTTCGATATCATGCATAAACATTAATTTTAAAGTTTAATTCGTTCGAAAATTTTCTACCCAAACTTCAGAGGGGAAAATAGTATTAATATTGATTGTTATGCACCATAAATCCTCTAAGAGCGCCCAGATACTCGATTTTAAGCAAGCTACAGACGGTCATACCAATCGTTGTTACTCACTAAATCACTTGATGTCTCCCATAATCCATAAACCGTTTTGTCGACAATACAATTTTTAGAGCTCCATGTTGATATATTTCTTTTTTACCTTTCCTGTCCTAAAATGTATTTGTGCATCAAATTATTTTTTTCAGATTTTGGAGGCGGAGAGATTGCTCACAATTAAATTGAGCTCGAAAAAGGATGAGGAACCGAAAAAATCCAGTTGCCCGTGTTAAATGGAAAATGATCAAAAAGCAACGAACAGGACCGAAGCAACTATATTTTCAATAGTAACTTGTTCATAAGTAATAATAACTGAAAATATTAATCTTGGATACAACACTACAGGAACTATACTGTAGAGTTCATATCCTTCGTTCGAACTTCAAGTTTTATTTCAAACGATATGGAATGTAACGTGATCTCCACAACTAACCAGGCCTTCGCCATATGAATACGAGTGCCCGAATTTACGAGCAACTAAAAAATTTAACAGCTTGGAAACAAATCATGAATTCTTGTGAAGCGTACAAGTTAATGACGTTGTAAACCAGCCCAGATTACAATGGCTGGCTGTTGTGCAACAGGACACGGCAAATATGTGGCGCTATGTGCATGTTTTTTGGGAGTCTTCTAGACAGTGCTGTTTGACCAAGGAAGTGCACCAGTCATCTATCTGATTGATTTGTTCATTGATTTAAAACTTTATATCATAACTATCATTAGTGACAGTACGTTATTTGTTTTCAAAAGATGCTGGCTAGAACCGTGTGTATTGTTGCATTTATAAAGTTTGGCCATATTAGGTTATATACAGACTTTCTCCCCTTCAAGCTTTTCATGCTTTGATTTCGTTTTTTCCTAGACATTTTTTGAAGTTAATCGAAAATAAAAATAACCACTGACACGTCACAAAAAGCTGATTTATTTAATAACTGAATTTCTTAAATAATGATGCACGAATTTAATAGAAAACAGCATGAGTAAGTGGAAAACTTGATTTAGAAGAATAAATATTATATAATATTTTGTTGATGAACAGTTTAATTTCCAATTGTAGTGTTAGAAATTAAATCATTTGCTGTATATATCTGCGATTTTGGTTTTGAGTTGCACTATTCATTTTCTCGTGACGAAACATTACGAGCAAAATTCATAACAAATAATAATTTTATTGCACCTGCTTCTCTACTACTGTATATTGAATCCTTACACAGACAGGAAAAGAAAAACTTTCATGAAGCTGTTAAGATCGTAAATAACCAAAATATGATGATGTTGGGATGTAGGTTTAAGCGTTCTCTGCTATTTTTATCATTGCCATTTTAGATAAGATTTGTGGGGTTATTTTTGATCGTGTAATATCAGTATATAATAGCAGAGGAGTCGAGTTGAGCTATTTTTGAGTTGAGCCATTTTTTGCGAGTTGAGCTATTTTTTGGTTCAGACATATATTTCCCAAATAACTCTCTAGGACAAGCTCAACATTAATATGACAACTCTAGTAAACTCTTCGCTGAGCACCTCAAGCAACGTGTAATTATTAATGAACAGAGGCAGAGATGGAGCCGGGATTTTTAATGTAATTTAATTGAGAAATAAAATGTTGAAGACTATTTTAAATTTTTGTTGAGAAATTATTCTTAAAAATACTTTGTATTTGACTAATTTCAGACGATTTGCGATAAAATTCTGGAAAAAGAGTGACTAACAAATGATGAAAAATTTAATACCGTTTCACGGCTCATTGTGAGTGAGGTGACGTCCCACGAAATGTAGAGCTGTCCGCGGCCGGCTTGGGAGTCAAGCAAAGAATTTGGGAATCAAGCAAAGAGAGGGGAAACAAAAATATGTGCAAATAATATCAACAATTTGATGAACTGAATAATAAAATTTTAAACTTGAATAACTCCACAACCTGAGTTGAAGCAAACGCTCAGATTGATTGATTATGATATAGTCCAGATGAGGTGGTTTATTATAAAATCATAAATAAAATACACAGCTCTTTTAAGTAGCCTAATGAACGATGCAATTATTACGTTTGAGATACCAAACGGAGGCTCGAAATTTCTTGAAGCATAACATTAAAAAATAAAAACAGATCGAGCCCTGTATGACTGAATTCAACTTATGTCAAAGGAAGAGGCTAAGAATTGATGCATGAGATCCACTTGTACAGGGTGCGCCACAGAAACTTACTTATTTGAAAAAATTCCTGTGCGGTTAGTTGGTCGGGTAGAGGGGCAAGAGGGGGTGCATCTGAAGGGGAAAGTTCCCAAGTTTGTTTCTCAAAGTTCCTCAAATGAATTTGCTGTAGTGCAAGAATTAACTGAACGCGATTTTGTTGCCCCTCAAAATGCATGTAAAATGCTGGTTGACAACCTGCCTGAAGACGCGGTCGTTTTTTTCAGTGGCGAGGCTCACTTCCACATTTCCGGCTGCGTTAACAAGCTGTAATGGAGCTCGTTGCAGGAACATGATCGAGGAACTTTTTCTTCCAAGACTCGAAGAAATGAACTTTAGGAACGTGTGGTTTCAGCAAGATGGAGCCACAGCACACACAGCACGAGACTCGATGAATTTGTTGCGACATTTCCCCGACCGCCTCATCTCTCTCAGAGGCGATATCCAATGGCCGCCACGCTCTCCAGACGGACCATAGCACACCTCAAGAACAACATTCGCGACGTCATTGCCAAAATACCGATTGATATGCTGCATAGAGTGGAAACCATTATGAAAAAAGTGACTTCATTAGTTTATGCGCAATGGAGGCCGTCATTTATGAGATTTAATTTTCAAACTGTATGAAAAAAATTTTGGGATACTGTTTTCTCGAATAAAAAGAAATTTAAAACAATAACTGAAGCACTTTTGTTTTTATTGACCTTTCAAATAAGTAAGTTTTTGTGGCGCACCCTGTAGAATCCCAGTAGAACATGAGATTGAAATAACGTAGATTCCAAGTTGTTATATGGTTTCAGTGTTGCGCAACCCGAATTCAACATTAAATCGATGTCGAAGACTTAGAAAGATGCGAGACAAACTCAATACCAGACTGAAACAACGTCGATTTGCGAACGTTGAATCTTTATCATATTCCTGCGATTGATGATGTTAAAAATGCGACCAAAACCAGGATGACAGGATATAACTTCAATGTTCAACTAATGTCAATATAACAATATTGGAAAAAATTGAAAATCATTTTCCTGTACATCGTCAGTTTTTCAACTAGCTTTCTTGGTGTTAAATTTCAACGGCATTCCGACGCTTCTTTGAGACCGCTGCATGAACGTCAAATACACGACACAAAAACACGATACACTCGAAGCCCAGTTTTTAAAGCGTTCTGACTTTCGTTTCAGTGGCGTCATCATGACATCAAGTTATTAAATTAGATTAAATGCGTAATTGCTGTGCGACTGGCTGAACCGGCCTAAAAACGTAGCTCCTCAAGTCAGAAGAAAGAATCGATTATCAACCAGCGCCATCTTCGTATCTTCTGGCCTCGCTATCAACTGAGACACTGAACTTCGGCAATTTTATCAATACATGAAATATAATGATTATTTTTATCGATTACAGCTTTGCGTAACGATCAAGCAATGATTGTGTTTAATCAATCCGTGTGAGAACCTTGAATTCTTATGATTGTTTCTTATATTCTCAGAAATCTCTTGAATTTCCAGAAATTCTGAATGTATTTCTTGAATATTCACATAACATAACCTAACATAGTGATCTCGGCGCTGAATATGTAGGCCAGATGTGCCCTGTCGCCGATTCTTTCGTGCCTTGTTCACAGAAGATCTAAAATCGTGTCATTTGACCGGATCTTTTCATGACTGACGATAGTTTGAAATAGCTACTCGACTTTCACCGGGTTCGATATGGTGCTAGGCATTTCAAATCTGAACATATATTTTTCCGTGGCTTTATCTAGTCTGTTCTTGAACGCGTTTATACTTGGAGCGCCAACGATGTAATCAGGGAGGCTGTTCCACATGTCGGTGATTCGAAGCGAGAAGAAATGTTGGCGCGTGGTTGAAGTTGCAGGGCAGTTTTTTTAGTTTATAGCCGTGGCCCCTGGTTTTGGTTCGTGTTTCAAATTCTAGTAATCCTTCGGGGACCTTGTATAAACCATGAGTATACTTGTATACTTTAATGAGGTCCCCACGCAGACGTCGATAACTGAGGCTTGGAAGCTTCATAATCTTTAATCTTTCTTCATATGACTTGCTCTTCAAGCCTGGAATTATCCCTGTTGCACGTCTTTGAACATTCTCTATTAAATTTTTGTCCTTTTCAAATCTCGGTGACCAGACAACGTTTCCTAACTCCAGTTTCGGGCGCACGACAGCACAAACAACTGCTTCATCGCTTCCGCATCTAGGAACTCGTATGAACGTCTGATTAGTCCAAGAAGTTTGTTGGATGTGTTAGCTTTCGTTTCAACATTCTTAGAAAATTTCAGCTCCTTGTCGACATAAACTCCGAGATCTTTTTCCACACTGGACTTTTCAATCACTACTCTCTCATTGCAACCATGTCTTCTCATACTGTAATCTTGCTGTTCATTGTTCTTCCCGAAGTGAAGTACTTTTCACTTGTAAGCAATAAACCGCAGCTGCCACGTATCAGCCCAGTTAACTAAACTGTCAAGATCATCTTGCAATTGCGATTTATTTGACGCATCCTTCTCTGAATTATAAACTATTGTGTCGTCGGCATACATGAAGCACACGCTGGACACTGCTTCTGGCAGATCGTTTATAAAAGCAACGAACATAATAGGCCCAAGAACGCTTCCTTGTGGAACGCCACTGCGCACTGATGCATAGTCTGAAACGGTTCCGTTAATACTGACACGTTGTCGTCTACCTACTAGAAAATCTCTGATCCATTGGAGCACGTTTCCCTCAATTTCCAAAGACTTCACTTTACGCAACAGCCGCTCATGCGGAACACTGTCAAATGCTTTGGCAAAATCGGGGTACAATGCATCCACTGGCTCCCTTTTGTCCAGCAGGCGAGTCCAATCGTTCAACGTAGATAAGAAGTTAGTGGTGCGGGATCTACCGGACATGAAACCATGTTGACAATCTGATATGAGATGGTGAGCAGTCAAGTGATCGATAATCCTATCCCTCACAACAGATTCCATTAGCTTACATGAAACAACACTTGTCAGACTGACAGGGCGATAGTTGCCGGGGCTGCTTTTGTCACCTTTTTTGAACAATGGTGTTACTTGAGCTTCTTTCCAGTCGGACGGCAAAGTTCCTTCGTTCAAGGTTTTAAAAGAATACTGTTAATGGGCCGGCCAGAACGGTTGCTAATTCTTTGAGCAATCTGGGATGGAAACCGTCTGGTCCACATGACTTGTTGGGATTTAGAGCTACCAGGCGCTTGAGAACCTCTTCTTCGTGTATTTCAAAGCATGTTAACTTCGAGCCGACTGGGCGCTCCTCAATATCTGGAATACTGTTC